AACCAACAAAGAAAATTTCCTTCTATAGATAAACCTTTCCTTAACTTTTACAGTAACAGACTAATACAATATTTGTCATTTTGTGATTGACTTATTTCACTCAGCATAATGTCCTCCAAGTTCATCCACATTTACTAAGTCATCTTTAAGAATATTTTTAAACTAAAAATAGGGATTTAAAACAAATATAAATCCAGTTTAGAATATAACTTCCTAAAGTTACTGAATAATTCAAATATGTCTTTATACTGAACAGTTATTTTTACGACTAAATAATAGATGATGTGATGTTCTTTAATTTCTAGTCTCAGCTTCTCCAAAGGGAACTGGAATTAGTTAAGTTCCCAAACCCACTGCCATCAAGTCAGTTCTGACTGGTGACTCTCATAGGGTTTCTAAAGCTGTGAATCTACAGAAGCAGATTGCCTTTTCACCTACACAGTGGCTAGTGGGTTCAAACTGCCAACCTTTTGGTTAGCAGCCAGATGCCCTAAACACTGCACCACCAGAGCTCCTTAAAAGTCTTTACTAGTAGTTATTGGAGATGAAGATGCTGAGACTAGACTGAAATAACCTTGTTACGAGGGCCAATGGCAGAATTCAGCCACTATTTGGCTGATTGCTATCTATTAGGTTTAATTACAATGCTGTGACATAAGGCAGAGCTGATTATAGGGGGAGAGGTGAAAAGAAGCACCTTTTAAAATCTTCACCCATACCCAGTACTTACAGGTAACACACTTTTTACCCGAGTTTGTCTTGTGGGTGGTAGTACTAATTCCCTGCACTTGGTACTCATTTCTCTCTCAAGCTCAGAGTTTAAATGGGGCGGGAGCTACTGGGAAGCAGCCCCCTTTTCTTTAAGTTAATTCCTTCTCTGAGATCTTGGTACCAGCTTTAACCTTAAGTCCTGCCTTTATATGCAGTGAAATAAACTGCAATGAGAGATGTTACACTCAGATTGTCTGGTCTCACAGATACAGGTAAGAGAGCTGTTTCCTTTTAAACTTGAGGAATAGCGTGTGAGATTATAAAAATAGACGCAGTAGATTTAAGTAGGATTTCTTTTTGTAACGAAAATACAGTATTACAAGTGAGAGAGTTACTAAGTATCCTTTGCAAATCTGTTCATTCTTTTATGGAAAAACTCCCAATTTAAACGTGAACTTAAGAAAAGTTATTGTCAAATCTTTCATAATCATGAGTCCTTGTAGAACAGAAACATAATAGAAGTCTGAGGTCGTGTTTCCAAACCCTAACACCCAGAGACAGTGGTGCAGAAAGTGGTCTAGCGCTCCAGTTCTTACTTTTCACTGAGGCAGTCCCCAGGTTCAAACGAGAGCCGCTCTTAAGTGTGTTTTTAAGTCAACTTTGTAAATATGTCAGAACAGGTGCATATGGTTCCTATTTAGCCTTACTTTGGTGCAATAAAGGCTTACAGCCTTTTCAGTGATTAAAAGCTGCATGTACAGCAAGTATGGGATTGTAATGAATTTGTTGCAAGTAGGATTTGGTTCAGTTGCTTCAAAGTGAGGGCAAACATCCATAACATTAAAAGGTGAGTAGGAGTTTTCCTAAGTTGAACATTTGGATGTTCTTAACCAGGGGACTTAATGTGCTTCTAAGAGCCCATGATGTGGGGTCGTGCCTACCACTCTAATTTTCAAATTCTGTGTTCCTAATGTTTAGCATGTATGTCTGCCAATACCAGTAATCCTGTCTTTTGCCATTTCAGAGGTAGCTGAGTTTACATTGTTTATGAAATACTGGTATTTTGGAAATTACTTGCAAATTGGCAAGTTATAGTCCTTTTCTATTTCTTTAATAATTAATGAGTTTCATATAATATAGCTTTCTAAAGGTATTTATCTCTTGGGAGAAACAAAAGACATACACTTGGAATCTGGAATATCTTCTACAAGTAACCTATGCAGGGCCACTGATGCAATGAACTGGTAGGTGGTTTTTGACATCCTTTCAAATGGAGTATGAGATATGCTCCGACTGGAAACCAGCAGTGTGTCATTGAAGAGGAAAAGGCTGAGGTCATGGACATGTTCATAGAGCCTGTGCAAAAAATGAAGAGAGGGCAGTTTTAATAAACATACCTATGTGCTTTGCTACATGGTAAACCATCTGTAAATTAAAAAGTCAATTGTCAAGGCATTTCCCCACCACAGACCTACTGGAGGTCACTGGAGTTCTCTAACTGCCCCCCCCCCCGATATGATTAGTAGCCCCTCTCAGGCCCATGTTCTAGACCATCAGAATTCCTGATGGAGGGGTGTGAGCTTGTCCATGGGACAAGTATCTCATAATCCCATCCTCTGTCCTTCCGTTTTTTCATTGTTGCCACTATGAATAATGTTTGCAGTAAACAGTCTTTTCAAATAAACAAATTCCTTACATATGCCCATATTTCTATCAAGATGCCCAAGAGTAGGATTGAGCAGCCCAAGGATATATGTGGTTCTCTAACTGCTGCTATAATTCACATTTATTCACCTTTTAAGAGAATAAGGAGTTCTGTTGGTGGTATGGTTAAGGTATCTGGCTGCTAACCAAAAGGTCAGTGGTTTGAACCCACCAGCTACTCTGAGGAAGAATGACAGGACAAGCTGCTTCTGTAAAGATTTACAACCTTGAAAACCCAGTGAGGGTCACCATGAGTCCAAAGCAACTCGATGGCAGTGAGTTCGGTTTTTTTGTTTTATGAGAATGACTGGCTGGTACATAGTATAGACGTGCGTGTGCACCTGAATTACCTGGAGATTTTGTTAAAATGCAAATTCTGGTTCAGTAGATTTGGGGTGGTCTGTATTTCTACAAGCTACCAAACCAAACCAAACCAAACGCACTGCCATTGAGTCAGACCCGACTCATAGCGACCCCATCTCTACAGCAGTAGATTGCTCAACCTTCCTTCCGAGGAGTGGCTGGTGGGTTTGAACTGCCAGCCTTCTGGTTAGCAGTCAAGGGCCTTAGGCACTAGGCCACCAGGGCTCCTCTACAAGCTCCCCGTCCGGTGATGACAGTCCTGCTGATCCGAGACCACATTTTGATTGTGAGGCACTTAAATCGTTTATTAATTACAACCATGCCTAAGAACTAGGAAGGGATTGAGTCCTGCAGGAATACAATTTTAAAGAGCGCTGTAGGTTCAACTATTTGAGAGTGTTAGGTTATCTACATGTTAAAAAAAATAACACCTCACTGCCATTGAGTCAGATCCAACTCATAGCAATCCCTCCTTGGGTTTCCAAGGTGATATCACTATGGAAGTAGATTGCCCAACCTTCCTTCCAAGGAGTGGTTGGTGCATTTGAACCGGCAGACTTCTGGTTAGCAATCGAATGCCTTAGTTACCAAGCACTAGAGCCCAAGTCTTTCAAACATTTCTTTCCCTTGCTTAAGTCTGTATGTGGTTATGATTTAAGCTGAAAAAAATGAGGTGCTTCACATTTATTGATATTTTGGTACCCTGAAAGAAATAATGTATTTGATGAAGCTGATAGGCTACTTTCAAAATAATGGAGTGGATACAACTAAGGGTGAGGGAGAGAAGGATCAAGAAAGGTGGATGAGTTTTAGATCTGTGTGTGATGGGCTATGTGTGGTAAATGGCCTGCTTTAACAGGCAAAAGAATTCCACCTGTATTCTTGCCTTTTGGAAGGGAGATCCAGAGGGGACAATGTTTTTACCATATCACCGATAAGGGCAATTATTTTTTTTTTTATTCCAGTTTACAAAAATGTTGAAGGCTGTATTAAAACTTGGGTGTTTTGTTTGAAATAATCAGAGTGTGTGTGTGCCTGAGGTGCTTTGAAGACATGGTTTCAAAAGGATTTGCTTTGGTAAATAGGTGTTCATTTTTCTTTCCCCTTTGGAAGGGACAGCATGGAGGTAGGGTTAAATGAAGGAGAACTCCAGTTGTGTGACCTACTTGAAACATTTTGAGGTTTGGCCCAGTGAAGGGAACAAGCAGGCTTTGAGTTTGGAACTGAGGCCACTTGTAATCTGCTGACATGAGTGACGGAAAGATAAACACACAGAGGTTTTGATTATTAGAAACTGATAGATAGATACATAGATAGGATTTTATCTAGAAAAAGCCATTTATAAAATAAAGCCCGCATCATCTCTCCATTTTTTTTCCAAAGACAAAAGCACCAGAAGTTTTTAATTTTAAAAAACAATTCCTCTATATAGCAAAAGCAAACAATTTTACCTTTCATATTGACATAATGAGCAATTGATTTGGAAACTAAAGATCCTAGTAGTGTTTCAGAAATCCTCTGTTAACACTCAAGGAAGCAACCATAATGGTAGAAACTGGATAGGGTTTCTTCACTTATTTGCAAATATGTTCAATGACTCAGTGAAATGGAACAGATCTAGTCTAATTTAAATCCCTGACTGCACCGTAGAAGTGTTTTTGTGTTTATTTCATTCCCTAGCCCAAGGGACATAAAGGCCTAAAGAACCTAGCTTCTATACATACATAAACTTTTAAAGGAAACATTAACGACACAAGCTTTAATGCATACAGTCCCCATAGTGCCACAGTGACTGGTGGATCATAGTTGGTTTTGGGGTTCCCAGAAAAAGAGTCAATTTAGACTCCAAAAAGATAAAGTACCAAGGATAAAGCTAACAAGGGACGTAAAAGACTTTATTATACAAGGAAAACTATAAAGCACTACTGCAAGTAACTAAAAGAGATTTACATAAATGGAAAAGCATTCCATGCTCAAGGATTGGAAGACTCAACATTGTGAAAATCCCAATATTATCCAAAGCAGCCCATCAATAGATGCAATCCTGATCCAAATCCCAACAACATTCTTGCAATCCTGATCCAAATCCCAACAACATTCTTTAATTAAATGGAAAAGTTAATCTCCAGCTTTATATGGAAAGGAAAAAGTCCCTGAATACCTAAAGCAATATTGAAGAAGAACAAAATAGGAGGCCTCACACTTACTGATCTCAAAACTGTTATGCAGGGAGTTCTGGCAAGATGGCGAACTAGGCACAAGGACTGCACAGACATTCTTCAACAAAGAAAAGGGAAACCAATTAACACAGACACAGAAGATAATCTTGGACCCCTGAGCCTTGAAGGGAAGGATA